ATGGGCCCAGGAACATTGGAATAGCAAAGGCAGCTTACTAAAAGGTCTGTTATGGAGAAAGAGGATTTTATAAAGAATATCACAGATTTTATGGGGGAAAAGAGTTTTCCTCCACATACTCATTCTCTCCCAGATGCATATATATTCCTCATGCCAACCAGGGCAGGGGAGACATCTTTCAGTCCCATCATTCCTTCCACTGTCCCCATGTGATCCTTATACAGAGCCACTTAAAGTCTTGAAGGAAAAACGGGAAATCCTCCATTTCTTTTAATTCTGGCTCTTAAGACCTAGCTGTCTTTTGAGCCTTTTATGCATCACTCCTTTCTGGAAATTTGTTAGAATGAACAACAAAGATTATTGTATCAAAGAAAAACCAAGCAAGCATAAGTCATGGCATCTGTTTGTTTAGAAACACCCACTTGCTCCTTGGAAGCGTAGGCTTGTAGGCTTGCTCCTTGGAAGTTATGCATAGGATTAAAGTACTAGAAAATAATACTTCAAATTTATTTTCCAAGTTTAGATTCACTATTGCTTTAAAGTGTTTTCACTATATAATTGGATTCACTGCAGCAATGAGGCAGTCATTCATTCTTGAAAGGTTTTTGTATGTGTGCTGAGTCATAAGTCCAATAACATATGAAAGGGTCCCTATAACCAGACAGGAAAACTCAAAACAATAAAACAGAAGAGAGTTGCAAAATTAAATGTCTGTGTATTCTGTAATGTTTTTATTTTAATTCTGAATATACAGTATTCAGAAATAGCTTCAGAGTCATTTGGAGATGGACATTTTTAAATCTATGGAAATAAATACATCTTTCTGGATTATACTTTTTATGCAATACATATGCAAAAATTAAAATACTGTAGTTCTCACAGAACAGCACCCTCTTTGTGTCTTTGTTTGTTTTACTTTAAAATCTGTGGGGAGTCTTTCATCACAATTTTCAAGACAGCTAATAATGTTTAAAAGACAACCATTTAGCATCAATGCTGTAAAATATCAACATAACATGCATAAACAGCAGCGAGCAATATTGTCACAATAGAAGTGAGAATAAAATGTTTACATAAAAGTTACATGAAGATCTTCAATTTAAAAAAAAGGAGGATGTTGCTTTCATGAGGTAAAAGATAACGGCCAATCAGAGCATTCTGCAAGTGGCATGCTTCTGTATCCAAAGGAGTCTTGTGTGTTTTGCGAAGAGATTCCATTGGAATATAGCTTAAGATTTCAAGAGCCACCACCAGTCTTTAGGCTTTTATTCTTTTCTCACCTAATTAGGAAAAGGCACCCTGCAGGAATGTTTCAGTGGCATATATTCATAGCAGAGAGTCTAACTCATCTTTAGGTTAATAAGCTTTCTTAGCTTTTAGGATAGCCATTTCTTTAAAATTCAATAATGTTTCACTTAGCCTTGTGAGGAAATCGCACCAATCTATAGCATGTGTTTAGTTTTACTGATGATAAAAAGAGATGATAGGTTATAAGGAAATGTAAACATGCTTCTGATTTTTCTAATTATACCCATAGTGATGACGTAATGCACAATTGCTAGTATTTAAAAGTTGCTATGTTGTAATTCAAATATTGGTGGAAATAATCTGGGCCAACTCATGGGATGCCAAACTCATCTGAGGAAATCTAAAACAGAATGATCAGGCACAAGTGAATTGCCTAATATTGAATGCTA